CTGTAACTTGAAAAGTCTGTAAGTCGAGTCGTCTGTAAGTTGAGGGTCCACTGTAGTACTATTTAATGGGGATAATATAGGTATACTTTGTTCAAGTTGCATCAGAGGTACAGTGAGAATATGGATCTGGAATTTAATTGGAGAGCCTTCATTCCTCCAGAGGTAGGTGCCTGCCACCATGCCTCAGCATTGGTTTGGTTGGTTTGTAGCTACTAGGACTTGAGGTTTGACCAGATCTGGAGGACCAGAGGTTTCCAAAGCCAAATTTAGCACCTTGTGCCAGCTGCATCTATATTTCAGGCGATGGGTTATGGTTTCTAGAAGCAAATCTGGAAGCTGCTTGATTTTATGAGCACTAGAACTACATTATTAATGGACCACCCCCACTCCCATTCACCATTGTAGTTTGATAAGGAAGAGCTTGAAGAGAGAATAGAGTAGACAAAAGACAATCTACTGAGGACTGGGAAAGGAGAGAGAGGTGTCACATGTGTTTCTTTGAATCTAGAATTGAGATAGTGGGAGAAGAGTGAGGAACGGAGAAGAAAAAACCCTGCATTTCCCAGGGTAGAGATTTTATACAAGCTGGTAGTTTTGTAATGAAATTGTGCTATGCATGGGTGTGGATGGATGTGTGCTACTTTTGCTGCTGTGCCGTGGAAGGGAGCTATGAAGCTTGTGTTTCAAATGAAGTAAACCTTTTGCAATGAAAAAGGTCTCCATTGGATATTTTTTTAAAAAAGTAATTATATTGTCAAAACTTTGAGAAATGAAACATCCGCTGAAATGAATCTGCTAACAATGATTCTGGCATTGTGGTCTGAGGCGTCAAGTCAGTCGTGGCCTGTTGATTTGAGGGAGTACGGGTAGTTTCAGAGCTTTAGAAAATTCCTAGAAAAACCAAAGTTTAAGGCTTTTATCATTTTAAAGGCACTCTTCTTCCATTTCCACAGTGAAAAACCACAGTCCACTGGTAAGTTCGTGGTGATGGTGTTTTCTTTATGTCTCACCTCTAGTCATGCAGTGACTTGAACAATGCTGATTTTTTTCCCATGGAAAGGTTAGCTTTGGGGGTCTCGTTCAACTAGTAGTGAATAATGCCTTTTACCCAGTGACTTCTTTTTATTGTGCTGCTATAGATGTCCCCCTCTTATGAACAAGCATTATGAAGCATTTACTGGATACTTTTCTAAATAGTAGTAGTCACTGGCTTGGAATGAAACTTCTTTTTTCTCCCTGTGTCAGATGTTATTCCAGCTTGCTGCTGCTCAGCCTTGGAGTGCTTTTCCTTGTACTCCCAGAAGCAGAAAGCCAAGAGAATCTGCTTTTTAAAAAAAGTCAGAATGATATAAGCTCTTAATACATCACTTTAGATAAATAGGTCCCTTGCCAAGCATTCCATTTTGAAGGCCACAGAAATGGCTTTTCATACAGCTTCAAGTTGAGATTTTTTTTTTAAAAAAAAGTTTTTCCCTGCAAGAGAAGAGGGGAGAAAGGTCTGGAGTAGTGTCTGATTAGGTGCGTAGCTTGCAAAAATTATTATTATTGTTATTTGATCTGCAATTCCCAGGAGATCCCCTGAGTGCTTGGCCACTCGGACAGCAGAGGCTCTGCCCTTGTGGTTTGCAGGCATTTGGTTGCTGAGTCAAAATGGAGGTGCCCCATGTTGGCAGCAGACATCCAGAGAGAGGGCTTTAGAAGATAGTAAACAGAAAGGCAGAACAGCTGGATAAGTCATAGAGCCTCAAAGCAGACAGCTTGGGTTGCCAAAGAATAGAATTTGGAATGCAGAGATGAAAACTCTGACTACTTTGGCCTTGAATACTCTGAGAAAAATAACAAATACATTAAGAGATAGGCAGGAGAACTAAGGGGAAGATATTATGGGAGGGAAGTTGGATAAGAGCACATGCAGATGGTTGCTATTGCTGGAGACCGTGGGTGGCTCAGCACATGGACCGACAAAGCCCTGGGCTCCTGGATCCAACACCAAATGAATGAGCATGGGAGTTAGTAATGCATATGAAGTGTCACAGCTTCCTGTTCAGTTGTAGCTCTTAGAGAATCTGAGGGCCTTGTAATGAGGTTAGCTAATCCATGATCCTGGTTTGTATACTCAGAATAGTGATACCATTGGATGGCAGAGGCACTACATTGAGTTTACAATACAATTAGGCTGTGCCATGTCTGGAAAACAACAGTGGATGCTTCACCCAAGTGATAACTGAAAGGTTGCATACCATATTTTTTGCTCCATAAGACGCACTTCCCCCGCAAAAAAAGTGGGGGGGGGGAAGTATGTGCATCTTATGAAGTGAATACAGTAAAAAAAAGGGTTCAGCCACCACCCCCCAGGAGCCTCCCACTGCCATGCTGGGAGGCCTCTGAACTAGCACCAGAGACTGCTTGCTGTTTGGACCTTACCTTTCTGCACTGCTGGCTTTCCAGGATCTGCTTTCTGCAGCCCACCTGGAAAACCAGCAAGGCTAACAGGCCTATGGCAGCAGGCAGTGAAAACAGCCAAGGACCAAAATAATAATTCTAGAAAGACCAGGGGAAACCACAAACACAGTCCCCCACTTAGGCAGTTGATT